TATACAATTCTCTCTCCTGCACAGGAAGCCTGTTATCAACATATGAAAGACAAATGTTAAGTGCTGTTGCTAAGTTTCTAAAAAATGTTTTCATTGAAACCAAATCTTGGTCTATCAAACGTCATTTTGATATTCAGAAGGATACCGTAAGCTGTGGTGTTCACATCTGCTGGTTTGCACTTCTTTTAACAAGAAAGTATAATTTAGCCCCTCTAGAAAATCCATCAGACTTTAGACAACACATTTATGACTCTATTCTCCTTCAAAAGGATTTGTAATTGTGCCTTCAAAATTTTATGTCATCAGTATTTTAGAATTTTTTCTTCTGTATATTTTATGGAGATTTTTCAAAAACCACAGAATGTACATTTGTTTTCTGTGGCATGTTGTTGCCTATTCAAATTGAGTGTGATACTGTAAATGTTACGTATTTGTTGCTCATTGTTGTTGTAAAGTATAAACAAAAATTTTTAACATGGTTCTATTTTAGGACATTTATTTAGGTGGGATTACAATGTAGTTGTAGGAACTGGGTTATCTTTATACTTCTTAACAAGAAAAGTTTTAAAAGAAATTCAGCTTGTAATGTGTTTTGTGGGAAACCATCCACAATTTTTATTTGAACATGTAAGCATACAAGTGCTTCCGTAATTCAAACACCTCTGTAAAAAGGGACGCTTTTAATGACTTCCTGAGAATGTCCTTCATACTGCCCGTTTAGCTTGAGCAGTTAGTAGTGAGACACTGTTTTCTTTTATTAAGAAGTCACCCCTAAGTACAATTTTTTGCCTTTTGAAACTTTTAAAAAAAAGGAACTTAGCACTACTATATGATTACAAGACTGCATATCTTTTGTTATATGTCCATGTATGTGTGATTTCTACCATGTCAATTTATTATTACCAATCAAAATGAGTCTTCTTTCATAGGTAATAAATGTGGAGACAAAATGCTCTACTCTAGGGTGTAGCGGGTGCCTACGTTTTCAGACATTTAATGTAACCTACGTTTCTTTCCTGGTGTCACTTGGTAATCTTATCTTATGTTAGTGTGTGCAAACCTTTGTGCTGTAAGAAATGAACGCTGATCTCATTGTGTGTTAATGTTTTAGAGTGAGTGCGCAGGAGGTAAGGGTAGCGCAACTCTTTATTCTTATTTTTCTCTTGAAAATGAGAAAAAAGATATTTTTGTGACCAATCTGGTATAGTATTATATTGTTTCTGAAGTGTTCAGTTTGTCATGGCCTACCTCTAATTGAAACTGGTCAATCAATGAAGACTTAAACTGTTGTTTCTTTTGTCCCTTTGTTGTTCAAAAATGATGTGTGTTCTCTAGCAGATTATATGAAACAATTTGACATTACCAAAATTTATATATGATTTATTACTTGTAATGCCAATAAAACTTGCACGGAAATAATTATTTCAATTGCTCATGTATTTTTTGTTTTTTTAAATTTACAACACACAAATATACCAAAGTACTATTGTATAAGAGAAGGAAGCCATATTGGTTGCACAATCTGATTTCTAGTCTAACAGTACATCTGAAAATAAATCTAGGAGAAAGAATACATAGTACACTAGATGAGTGATGTATGCAACAATAAGTATGGTTTGCTGCATTTGCATACCGTAACTACGTAATGAATTCCCTGGACCTAATTACTATGAGGAAATTCTCTATCGATGGTTCTATATAGAACCTTCAAATACAAAGATGAAATATTAATCCATGATGTCCTAATATGGTAGTGTATGGGGTTCTTCAAATCTGAGTTAACATTTTCAACACATATAGTAAATAGTCTGTTAAAGACTGATTGTTTCAAAAGGTTCAACTGGCTCACTAATGAAATTTGGCAAAAAAAGGCTGAACAAGGGCAATAACTGAAATGAGAATGAAACAGGATTTTCAAGATATCTTGGAATACAACACCTCATTTAAAGCACTATAGCATATTAAAACATTCAAGAAGAGCAAAACCTTTCCATTAAAATAAACTGGAAGCCATGTACAAACAAACGTAACTATTTTTTCCAAATTCTTAAAATTGGGCCAAGGCGTTTTACAAAATAATACCCCATCACACTTTCAGTGACAAAATTTGATGAAACACTTACGTCAATTAAGTAAAACAATTTCATACTGCCCCTCAAGCAATTCACAATTATGCACAAGTCAGAATTTCTGTTCCCTGTTCTAGACACAATAGATTTAAGAAAACAAATGTATGACTCTTTCACTCTGTTTGCAAGAGTGCTTACTCCAGTATAGGCTTCATTTATCTCTATCAGAGAAACAAAAAACAATAACAGCACATGACCGTGATGTTTAGGGCAATTCTCGGCAACTCCTTCAATTGAAAATGTTAAGCCCCGGACGTTGAACGCTCAACCTGTAAAAATTACAACAAACAATACATTAAAGGGGGAAAAAATAAAAAAGGGAAATAATGGATAACACGAAAGTGCAAAATTATTATTAAAATTTCAAATGCAATAACTTCAGACGATTTTAGTGGTACACAATACGTACTCGGTGTTAGATCCAACAGAAATCCTCGTAATGCTTCCATGGTGTGTCAACCACAAGTTGTACAGAAATGTGGCACATTAAGTGACTGAACCACTGCACAAAGAAGAAGTCAAACAGAGCATGGACTTAGGGATGTGAACTTTCTTTAAGTAATTATGAATGCAAACAGATCCATGCCATACCTGGAAATTTTCACCTTCATCCTCATTTATGTGATACATAATCTTCTCTTGAGCAGTGAAGTGAAGGAAGATCCAAAGTTTCGTTTAGAAAACGTCGAAGCCTGATGAAATAAAAATCAGTAATTCCTAAAATGAGAACAGCAAAGATTGGGGATTGATAAACTAACCTGGACATGGATCCGGATTCCATACACGCCAGCCCATTTCGATACCGAGATTACGGTGAAAAGAAAGCTCCCTCTCTGAAAATGTTGCTTCACCCATAACAATTAATAGTAACAATTGTGAAAAATTGTAGACAAGTCAAAGAAAAGCGATCGAAAGAAAATCCCGTCCGCCAGAACACATCCCAACCGTCATCGACATCCCCCACGACCACGGCCCGGGCGCGGGGGGACCGGCGGACGAACGTCGAAACGGCAACGTCGCAGACTTAACCCAGCCCTGCCTGGTGCTTTGTTCGGATGTGTGTCGGTACGGTTGGTGATTGTCGTTGTGTTGTCGCCAGTTTCTGTGTTATTTTGCGTTATTTACCGTGGCTACCTGCAGCCTTTCCGATGGATTTCACTCTTCAGAACCTCTGACGCCCTTGGAGTAACTACCGCAGCAGCTCTAGCACCATGAACCACGACACATAGGTGAGGACACTCGGCTTGGGAAGAGACAGGTCCTTACAGGTCCTTAGCCTTTGGCAGCGTAAGATGTCCTGCACTGTCCTGCACTCTAGGGCAACTTATGTATTTATGGGATTCAAATGTTACGCACTCAATGATCACGTCGTGTTAGTAACGCAATAAATTTGCAGCCGGTGTGTGAGACCGGCAGAATGTACTATAGAGTCGAGCTTGTTTGTTTACCATTTGGTACACTTCATGCAAACAAACAAAGGACCAAGTTAACGGATCCATAAACATTATTGGCTAAGGAACTAGACAATATATTGCTATGAGCTCAAAAATTATTATTTCTCCTAAAATTCATTAATACGTTTGTTTCATCTACCTCAGTATTGCCTGCCCTAGACTACATCTTAGTATAGGTTATGTGCTGCAAATGCAGCAGAACTCATTTTAGCTGGTAATTGATTTTAAATGGTTCTTGGTATTTCACTATCATTGCTTATTATAGAGAACATGGAAAATAATTTCAGAAAGTTATTGACTATTCTGAGCAACTGTGAATTTCCACTCTATATTTTGATTTAAACATTTCGTTGTGTGGCTATAAGAAGTATGAGCTAATTCTGTGCTTGTTTTCTATCTTTTGAAGTGTTGTACTTGCTTGCCGCTTTTGGTTTTCACTGTACATTTTTTAACATGGTTGCGGTGTTGTTAGCCTTGATTACGTGCATTATCTATTACATCGACTCGTGGAATACCACTTCATTCCCCAGTTTATACTTTGCTCGACACGTCCTTTTTTTAAGCAGAATCGTACCCATTTTTTTTCATTTTTTTTTTGTTCACTGCAATATAAGGTAAGATTATAGGTAATGGATCAGGTGCTCAGATCACAAGCACTCGTATCAGTTGTGCGAGCAGCTTCACGCTTGATGTACAATTTTCCATCAATTGCAAGGGAGCTGCAAATCAATCCCGTCTTGTCAACACCATGAGATCTTTTCAGCTGACCAACTTTTCTCTTTGTATTACATTTAATTTGTTTATGCTCTCTCTAAACTGAATTTCAATCACACATGCAGTTTCTTTGCCTGAGAGAACTTTTTTTGCTCGGGTCTCGGGTGTCGATGGGTATTTGAGTCAGCACCACCAATAACTCCATCTGTACAAGTTCTTTCAACGGTGTGGACTCTCCATGGCGTGGCCTGGCGTGGGCTCGCGTGCCGCACGCTTGTGCTGTGAGCGCAGTTGTCACTCCCCGCCCTGGCCGCTCACCAAGCCGCGCCTCTCCCCCTACCGCCCCACCCACCCACCGCACCCCGCCCCGCCCCGCGTCGTATGAAGTGAATAAGCTCCCGTTCACCATTCAAGTTCCGATACGCTCGCGGACTACAGATGGAGTCGTGGGGCGGGGCGGCGGGAACCGACGACGACTTGTCGTGGCGAGATAAATGAAAAATCCATCCGTCAGCATCAAGACGTGAGAAAGCTCGGGGGAACGGGTGAAAGGGACATTTAACTGGACTTTGTAAACTACGTAGGACGCACGTTTTAGTATTTCTGTTCGAGTGCGTCCGCTGTCGTGTTTCATTCATACTGGTCCTCGCGGAGTGGCTGCTGGCATGACCTAACGAAGGCACACGACCGGAGAGCGCATTTTCTTCTCTTCTCTTGTTTTTTTTGTTTTTTTTTTTGTTGTTGTTTTTGTCGTGTCCTGAACTTCGTCTCTATTCCCACCGCTGAGCGCGGCGTGGCGTGGCGTGGAACGACAGGGCAGCGTCGTCGCCGACGACGACCCGTTATCGCTTGCGAGGTTTCCTTGTCGTTTTACCGTGCCTCTTATGCCACCGGCGCCCCCTCGCAGTGAGGAGGCGGTGGCGGCGGTCTGCATAGGGAGACCTTTACCGAACTCCCCCGCAGGATGCCCGCAGGAAGACTGGAGGACACCCGCAGGACGCCCGCAGGACGCCCGCAAGCATGCTGTTGGGAATGCCTCTGGCATTCGTGCGCCAGCAGTATTGGTTAGCCAGCTCCTTGCAGGGCTCGCCGCGCTTGCTGCCGGCCCGGGCTCCCTGCCGCTGCCGCTTTCCTCCCTAGGAAGCCGCGAGAAACACCCATTTGTTTCCGGCCTGGCCGGGGCTGCGCGGCGGTGGCGGCGGGGGCCCTCGGGGTCTGCGAGGGCCCCTGTGGCCCCCTCTGGGGCTGCCGCGCCGCCGCGCACACATGCACCAGGATGCACATCTCAGCCCACGCCGCGCCACGCCACGGCACGCCCCTCGGGGGCCCGAGTCGTCGTCTTCTTGCCGCCGAGCAGCCCGCTGCTCCCTCTCCTCCTCGATGGCGATTATCAAGAGGCTATAACTCTGTCGTCAACACCATGGCATCGGACGCAGTGCGGCGCAGCGGCGCAGCAGGGCGGGGCGGGACGCGGTGCAGGACAAACGCTCGCGCGCGGGCTGCTTTCTATGCCCCGCCACGCCACGCCCACCTTATACACCGGAGAGTCATTCACAGCATGCGACCTAGTCCTGTCGACTCGGTGTAGTGGTTCCGGTGAGGGGGGGGGGGGCGGTCCGGGCGCGGGTCAAGTAGCCGAGTCGCACCGATGGAGCGGGAAGTGGAAGGGTTTTTATTTATTTATTCCCAAACGGGCCG